GCATAACATTGCATTAGGTTATGCTATATTGCATATGATCACTTTAGATTGTATTAGAGAGTGTCAGCTTGAATTTGAATGCATTAGTTTCCTACAACACATTCACACATATGGCAAGGTATGGCCATAGCCTCTGCTGCAATAATCTGTTCCCTTAGCTGTTGTAGGGTGTGAGGGCAACTTCTGAACACCCTTTCTTTTAGATGTCCCCAAAGAAAGAAATCGCAAATGCTCAAATCAGGTGACCTTTCAGGCCACTATAAATCACCTTTCAGAGACACCAGATGTCCAGGAAACGTGCGTTTCAAAACATTGAGTGACTTTTGGGCTGTGTGAGCTGTAGCCTCATCCTGCTGGAACCACACATCTCCCAATGTTTCATTTTCAACAATGTTTTCCATCCTGCGCTGCAAGAAATTTTGCAACATTGCAGCATAGTGTTCGGAATTCACTGTCATGGTTACTCCTTCCTCTGAGAACGACTCCAACAGTGTGTTGCAGCCAACAGACAACATATTCCAGATATTGTTTTCAAAACATGAGTGGTATTCTAAATGGTTTCTTATGCTAACCTCTAGGAAAATAAACTTTCTTCTTTATGTACCTCCATTTCTCTTTTCTTTTGCCTCAAAACTGCTCAATTGGTTCTGCCCCACCCTGTATATTGGGAGGTTGAGATTGTATTGACCTTTTAGGCAATTAGAAAGATTTTCCACCCTAATACAAGTACCTACCTATTATAATTAAGATATTTTATTTCAGTCTTTAATTAAGGGGAGCGTCTGGGGTCAAATTTATCTTGGTTATTTACAGACAGATCGATTTGATATTTGGTACACGTATGTAAAACGGAATTCTAAGACTTTTTTTATTTGTGTGAATTTTTCTAAAAAATGAAAGAAAACGTGAAATTCATAGAAAATGGCCAAAAAAGGGGTACTTTAGAAAACCTTTCTCCTCCTAGGATTTGCAAGCTACAATATCAAAACACATATCATTTGATGCGTAAAAACCATATCTAAAAAAGTGTGTATGCGTTTTTTGAAATTCTCATTTTTGTGGGTGTGGGAGCATTTTTTGTAAAGTTTTCAGAAATTTTTCTATTTTACCCCCCGCCCCTCCCTTTTTGCAGAATAAAATCTAAACTATAACGAAATTAGAAAAACGCATACATACTTTTATAGATCTTTTTTTTCTAAATCGAATGGTGTTTGGCTCATTGATGTAGCTTCAAAACTGTAGGAGGAGATAGGTTTGGCATGAGAGAGGTTTTCATGTTTTCAAATTGTTCAGTAGAAGTGGAAACCATGGCGCGCTATGTAAAGGCATGTAACGTACTAGCTTAGATACCAAAAGTAAGCGTTAGCTCTCTTCAAAGTCAGTCAGCAGTGCAGATGACAACTTTATCAACACCTCTCCACATGATATCTGTCGGGTAACTGAGCTGTAGGTCCAGCGACAGCACATTTATAGAGCTTAGCCGTAATTATCTCCATAGGATTTTGTGAAGGGACCCCAGCACCCTCCCCCCTTTCTGGATCTGTTGTGAACGCATAAATCAACGTACAGAGATGGTTCTAGTACTGTTCGATGCGGCAGAAAGTAAGCTTTAAGATGAGCAAAGAAACCGGAAAAGCCAAAAATTTCGACTTTTACCCCAGACGTTCCCCTTAACCCTTTCACGGGTAAGTTACCATATATGATCACTTGAAATCGCGTCACAAAAAGCCTCACCATGGCCTCCTGTTTGTTTTTGAGGCATCCTTATAATGCCTCAGTCAATCCCTAATTATCTGACCATCGTTCTATCTATAGCATCACCAGCTGCAAAGTCCACAAATTGAAATATGAGCATTTAAATGAAGGTTTTGACTCAGACAAAGGAATTGACGCTCTTTCCGCATTTTCTTCAAAATTTGGAAGTATCAATATATATATTTATCTATTTTGGCAACTTGATTAAATTTAATTAAATTAAATTTTTATGTTTCTAATTTTTCATTTGCATAAGCTGAATTTTAATTATAAAGAAAAATTTTGTGTACTGAAGCATTTATTGAATTCTTCAAGTGCAATTTAAACCTTCAATAGGCAAAATTTGCAAAAATTCATATAAATAAATATATTGTATAATACTTCTTACTTTCTTGAAATGGTTTCTGAAATTTTAATTTCTGGATATTTCAATGCTTGCCCGCTAAAGGGTTAAATATGTGAATTTATAACTAGAAACAAGAAAATTATTATAAAACTATATATAAAATAAATAAATGCAGTGAATGGAAATAAAATGTTTGAATTGTGCACATGTTTATTTCAAACAGTGTTAGCATTTCTCATAACTTGAGACTCATTTCAAGTCGTTTGAGGTTTGCTTGGTTATCGTTCAGTTTATGTTTAGTATTGGTTTATTCGTATGAATTAAATGGGAACAGTGCAGTCAGTCACTCATTCACTTCTAGTCGGTGTGTATAGAGGGTAGAGTCTGGTAGATTTATAGGACATAAAACTAGTAGATCTATTGATAGTGCTGTGCACTGTGTAAGTGGTAAACACCACCTTGGCCTGTTGGCCATTGTTGAATGCAATAAGTGCCCTTGTTAGCCATCCAATATGATCCATATACTGTTATTGTTAGTAGGCTAATTGCAACATAAAAAATAACCCTTCAAAAAAGACAAAAAAGCTGAAAAAATAAAAAAATCAAATAAATGAAAAAAAATCATGAAAAAATAAAAAAATAATTTATTTTTTATTTTTTTTTTATTTAAAAAAATAAAAGAAATCACCAACCCTGGACTGCATTAGGTTACAATAAATTGCCTTAGGTTACATTAGATTGCTGTAAAACACAATAGATTGCATTCGATCACAATAGATTGCATTAGAATGCAATAGAGTGCAATACATTGCACTAGAATGTAATAGATTGGGTTAGAACTTGAAAGATTGCAGGTATTAGAATACACAAGAATGCATTAAAATGTATTTAGGCAGCATTTGCTTTCAACAAATTATTGAAATGGAGATGAGTTTTTTCAGCAGTAGCATTGGGCATGCCAGACATATGCACATTATGATTGGGTGACCTACAAGCAATCAAACAAGCTGAAGATGCATGTGGTGATGGCGGGGCTGATCAAGCAATCCATAGTTTATGATTGATCATGGATGTCCGATCCATATTTTATGATTGGCCATGGATGCCGATTTAAGGTCAAGGTGGCTGATGGAGAGCTTGAAAAGATGCCAATATCTCAAGCTGAAAGGCCCTAGGTACTTTACAGCCTGGAGTTCAGTGCTTGCAGCTTTCACTCAACAATTAAAATTAGACATAAAATATAAACATTTGTCTCTTTAAGTTGACCGCAATGAACTAAATTTCATTAAGTAATTACAACTCATGCTACCAAACAATTTTCCATGATGCACACTAAACACGCAATTCAGGAAGCGGGACTACATACCACGACAAGAGCCTATGTCACAGCATGCAATTAATATAGCTTCATTCCCAGTGCACAATCATGGTTGATCGTATCCAACTGGAAATGATCATGGTTGACGGTATCCAACTATCATTTGTATATTCACTGCAAGATAATGCTCATTGGTGATCTTGAATTTGTGCATTGCATTTATGCAATTTGTGAAATTATAATTTCTAAATAGGTACCAACTTTTTCAATTTAATTCTGAAAGCATCATGTCAATTGAATTCTAATAAGGATAACTAATTTTTGCATTGTAGTTCTGAAAATTAAGTATTGCATTTCTTTTAAATTAAAAACATTCTCTTACATAAAAAAAACGCTGAATTTTTTCTTCCAACTCCTACGACATTTGATGATGTCACTCGTATAATTAAAAGTTATGCGAGTGATTCCTGAATATACAAGTGTATTTAAGAACAGTTTCTGAAATAGTAGGGACATTTCCATTACCATATTACCTCACTGAATGAGGTTCATAAAGTACTTACCACCAAATCCAATCATTGTCATTTAATTTAAGATGTATGGACGACAATTTTATCTTTGTTCCCACGATGCTTATTTGTACCCGCAGCCGCAGCAGCTGTAGAAATATGTGCCAAAGCCATTCAAACCAACCCAAGTGTTGGGTTCCTGAAGAAGTGTCGCATTCTTCCGCCACTGACTGGTCAATATAACCTCAGCAAATGTTAAGCATTAAAATCACAAATACTTCTTGCTTACTTGTTTAGTGGCTGGTCCTTTAAGTTGTGAAACCATTTAAAATAATTTTTTCTGATATTCATAACTGATTATTAACTTTTGCATTATATATATCAATATATAAAATAATTAACTATCTATTTTGTTTATATATCACATTATGAATTTAAAATACTCGTACACGAATTTCTGAGATTGAAATTCTGCAAGCGTCACCACTATTAAATTTTAAGATGCCATATGTCTCATGACTAAATGCTCTTTGATTTATAAAAATCAAATGATTGCTGCTTCCAAACTACTAACATTTTCTGAAAGACCTGAGACATTTTTAAATTTTGAAACAAGTTTCCATCATTTAAATCTTAGTGTGGAATGTGGACCAATTCTGTTTACTGTGAAATCAAACTTGACATTACCAAAACAACGTGTGGGACACTGTCTCCTCTTATGATTACATTGCAGTACAATGTGCCCATATGCCATGAAAGATTTGCAGTTTATCTCATCATATTGTGTGGTATCCAAAATTTTGTGAGTATTGGGGAAAATGTAAGAATTTTTTGCCAAAGGTTTATATAATTTTTGTTTATTTTAGAACATCTTCATTGCAAAAGTTTGTCAGCTATAGATAAATGACTAGTGAATGTAATCAAGTAAGGCGTTGCTGACTCAGTATTGGATTCCAAAACATGGCCCATGCATGAAAGCAGATCCATGATCCATGACAGTTTCTGTTTAGCTCAGTGTATCAATTGTCACTGCTGTGTAAGGTGTAACATGGTAGGCTTTTGGATCCATTTTCTATTTTTCTTATATGAACATGAGATCATATTTACAGAATTCCTCACTGAACTTTAGTGCTCACTCAAATCTCAATATTATTTTTATCTCATTCTAAATATCAATGTTTTGCAGATCTTTGCTTATTTTATACTGCCTGTTATTTTGGAAACAAATGCTTTCATATTTTTTTATGTCCAATGTAGTGAAAACATTGTTTATAGTTAATATTGGTAAACATTTAACCATTTTGGCATGGCTCATGTTGTGAGCAAAAAACTATTGGCTACAGATGATGCATTGGAACAAGTTCTTCCTTTGTGTGTAAGTAAAGGTGGTTTTAGATTGGCTAGAGTGAAATTAGACCATGATGGCATTGTTGTAAATTTTGTTTTACCTGATGGTGTACCTATCAAAAATAGTTCAGAAAATGGTAGAAACCACTCAAGTGAGAAAATTCTCTTGAAAGCCCCTGAGATTGTTGGTTCTTGTGTAACCAGATCTACGGAGTCAATTTCAAAATCAGTGTTTCTTAAAATTTTTGCATATCCCATTGATGAATCCAAGAGGAATCCAAGCCGGCGTCGCATCTCCATAACAATGGAGTTTGAAACGCAACCTACCATGGAAGAGAATTATCACCATGCCATGAAGTGGGCAAACTTTGTTCATGATATGTTGCAGCCTGATACACCTATATTTGGCAGTCCAGGTGTGGTATATAGTTTTTTTAAATTTATTTGTGATACAAGTTTCTTCTTGTTTTGAATGTAAACTTGTTTAACATAATTTTGTTTCCCTTTGAAACCTTTTCTGTTTCACTGCTTACTTTCTGCTTTTTCCTACAAGTCCATGTTCATTGATAGAAAATATGACTTTCCACTATCTAATTTATATCTATTTTAACTAAAAAATTCTATGTTCTCCATATGTGTGTTGCTGCTTTTACTAATTCATATCTTAGCTTATTGCAAATGGGGCGACTTGGACCATTTTGATATTTAAGCAAAGAAAACCCTGTGTACTCAAAAAGTTTTGGCTTATGAAAATTGTGTTAATGGCTCTTGAATACTAGGAAATAACCTAAAATTGCAATAAAGTGATAAATTTGATATATTGACGATGTGACTATTTGTATCACAAAGAGGTAAGTGCTGAATATGGCCTCAGTCAACCTGCTAATAGTACAAGTGGTCCAGTAGAATCTTATCTGAGAACAAATTAATGAAGTTATTGTTTCAAATTTTTATCACCAGCTATTTTACTAACTGCAATGACTGTTGAATGTCCAATAATTGCTTAATTTGATTAAGATTAATTTTAACAATCACCACAAAATCTCAAATTACTCATTTGTGATTGTTTTAAGCATTTTATTTTTGTGTTGGTTTTTTTTATTAGTTCTGTTTTGTGTTGGTTTTTTTTATTAGTTCTGCTGATATGTTTGCTTTACAAGGTCTCTTTATAACAAGGTCTCATCCTCTCATTATTCAAACAGATGTTTGCTTTCTAGGAATGTCCTCTACTGACAAACTGCTTGTGCTTGTCAATCCAAACTCAGGGCCTGGGAAAGCCTATCAAATCTTCCGTAAACAGGTGAAGCTTGTAAATCCTAGAATAATATTTTATAATAACTATTTCTTAGTAATAATTTCCATTCTGACTCTCTCTCTGACTAATTTCCATTCTGACTCTCATTCTGATGAAGATAATTTGAAACCATCAATTAATAACTTTCAAAATTATCATAATGCTGTCCTGTGTGAATTGTGGCACAGCCAGCTACTCATATCTATTATGGCTGAGTTTTGACCACTGTATCTTAGGCCGAAATTGGCCACAATATTGTGAATAATATCGGTGTTTCTCAAGCCAAATTTTACAACTATATTCTGTCTCCTAACAGGTTGCTCCAGTCCTGAGTGACAGTGGTGTGGCATATGATGTGATCATCACTCAGAGGGCAAATCATGCTCATGATCTCATGAAGACTTTGGATCTGCAGAAGTACAAAGCTGTGGCAGTTGTTGCTGGTGATGGGCTTCTGTATGAGGTAATTTGACAAAACTTGTTTCCAGCCTTCTAAACTATTTTGAGTTTTGCTGTTGCTGCTGCATGGTTTCTATCTCATTAAACCTGTGATCAAATTGCTGGGCGGGCACCAACATATTGAATTATCTGTGTTAAAGTTGTTCATTTTGTATGAAATTCAAAGCTGTGTTTATATATTTTTTACATTTATCCAATTGTGCAAGCAGCTTAACTTGCATGATTTTTAGTGCATTTTCTTATTTATGGAAAAAATGCACTATTGTGCTTGCCATGTCCGTCTACCCATCCGTCTGTGACTTCACGTTTTCGTCGATAAGAAAATGAGCTCTCTGTCACTCACTGCAGTGAGTACCACTGAGTTATATTTTTCATGTTCTTCTGTCAGAAATTAATTATTGATTACTTTTTCTTAGTGTAAAATATTATTTCTAAGCCATAGTTTGTTTGATTGCATTTATGATAATGAAATCAAATTGTCAAGTTCTCAAAATTCTGTGGTGTCCTAGGTCTACAATGGTCTTGGCTGTCGCAGTGACTGGATGTCAGCTTTGGGTCTGCCAGTATGCATTATCCCTGGGGGGTCTGGCAATGGTCTTGCCAAGTCACTTGCTTACTGGAGGAAGTTAGTTGCATCTCACTTCTATTATTTGTGCTCTCTGATCCATTTTTAGCAACATAAATTGAAAATTTTGGTCTATTTTTCTAATCCCTATTATATTTTTTTAGTAATGCCTTTCATATAATGACTTACTACCTCAATTTTTCTTGAGCCCAAAATTTATAATTTAAAGAAGCTCTAAATATTTAATCAAAAAATTGTTTTCTTAATTGTTATAAAAAGATATAACTTCATTTCAGAGACCCAGAGCTGAAGAGGCCAAGATCCCAGTGCTTAATATCGGCACTAAACCTTGTACGTGGCACACCCAAGCCAATGGATCTCATTCTCATCCATTCCCATTCAGGCAAGGTTAGTCTGGCATTTCCTCCAGATGTTTCAATGACACTCCTTTTCTGGCAAGGTGGGTCCTGCACTGGCACAATAATTTCACGAAGTATGATTGAATACATGTAGTTCCTCTCACAAGTTCCGTTGCTTCGGGATCTAGATTTTTCAATTCATAAAGTTATATAGAAAACAAGATAATAGAAGAGCTTGGCAAACTGAATCATGTTTTACATTGCATAATGTAAAAGTGAACTTCCTACGATAGAAATATCCAACCATATTCTAATTTTGACTCAGGGTGTCTGGTAAGATTATCTATAACGATTAAGCCAGTGTGAATATAGATTAATTCTTCTATAAACTCCAACGAGCAATAGGCTTTTTTTTAACTTGGTACATTTGGGCCTGATCTCTTATGGAAGCAACTTAATGCCTGTGTGCCCTTGTTTCTGTTGCTTTTCAGCTTTTCCTACTTTGTATAAAAGAAAAATGTTCCTTTCTTTCTAGGTCCAGCATTTAATTTGCTCCTTATAGGTACTTAGTGAATCATTTTTTTATTCAACCTATGACTTGATATTAAACTGAAAGTCATAAGAAATACTTTGCCAATAAGGTGAAAGGCCTTGATTGAATGCAAATTTCTGGCTTGCAAAACATCAATACCAATTATTCTCCCACAACAACTACTTGATTTTAGTGTTCTGCCACTGATCTAAAATTCGCCTTCCACACAACACTTTGATGAAGTTTGTTCTCTAATATTCCAAGTATCAAGTTCCTTCATGAAAGAATAGAATTTTGTCTCCAAACCCATGTCTTTATCTGAATCAAACTGCTCTTTTACGTGCATGTTCGATTTTATTTTTCACATGCAACAGTATTTTCAACTCACTTTTTTCCTCAAGTAAATTTTATCTTCGTTTTACAGAGGTATATTTCATTCCTGTCATTTGGCCTCGGGCTTCTGACGGACATCGACATCCAGAGTGAGCGTCTGCGCATTCTAGGAGAGGCACGCTTCACCCTCTGGGGTATAGGGAAGGTGATGGGTGAGTCTGCTGTTCTATGCCTCACTCTGCAGTGATCATCGGTCGCTATGATGGCATAGGGAAGGTGAAGGGTAGAGTCCCTGTTGCTCTACCGTGTCGATCATTTACTACGATAAATTGATTTTTCACACGCCTAATAATTTACATTTTACAATGCCGGTACGAACAAAATTAAATTTAAATATCCCGTTGTTTTCATATACAGTGAGGATGACTGGATAACAGCTTATAAAATTACCTATTGACCTAATTGACCTAAACGTTCAGAAAATATTTTTCATTTGGTACACGATAACCATTGCTGTTGTGCTGACTGTAAGCCAATAATTCTAGTTTAAGTGGAATCTTTACGACAAATGAATTTTTTCAGATTGCTTTAACTACCTATAAGCACTGACCTTAGATGAAGGCAAGTGAAGCTAATTCTCCCTCTAGCAAAGCATGTGAATCTCTTCTATCATAATTCTCTCTAATATAGAATGCAGGAATTATTTTTTTTCAGTTCAGAGAAGATACAGCGTGACCATTTCTTTCAAGAGAGCGTCTGGCATCAAACGAGACGAGGTTGGTTGCTCTTACTTACAATGCTACATTTCGGTCATTGTATAGCAAAATTAGCTTTGAGCAACCGTACACAATAATAAAGAAATTTTGAGTTGAGTTTAGTATAGATATCCGATCTAACTTTTTATATATTCCTGGTCAAAATCGGCAAAGTATTGAATTTGTTCACGACAAATGGTAAAAATAACATTTTCTGCCAAATAAGAACATGTGACTTCTGGTTGCTGCTTTTGTCTGTCGCATACAGGAATTTTAAAAATAATCAAGAAATGAATAGCAGTAGATCGGCAACAAAAGTGTCGATATCAATTGACGATAAATTGGACATTGTGAAGAAATATGCGGTGGACGGGGTGTGTCAACGTGGCAAAGTAGTCCCACCAGAATCAATATTCAATTCCCTCTATATTGGTCAAAAAGATGTCACATAAAACAAATAATTCTTTCTCTACCCAATTCCGAGTGCTAAATATACGGTAAAAAGTGACCTTTTGGTAGGCCCAACATAGATCAGTCATTTCCATTCATTTGAAGGTTTAAAATACCTTAGGTTTAAATTGCTTTATGAACAAACTGCTGTGTGAACCGAATTTCGGTATGAATTTAATTCTTTCGGTGGGGTTTCACTGTGTTATATTAATGAGATGAATGATTAAATCCATTATGAATTGAAGTATTTTCCTCTATTAATTTTCAAGTACCTTCTGTTTCTGAACATTTTATGATCCATTTGCCATTACTTCACATCAAGTTATTAATTTAATGTTATGTTGTTAGCATGGGATGGTTGATTGAAGTTTCTTTTGTCCAACAGCTGAAAAAGTCAGCCTCACAAAGTGAACTCCAATCTCAAACTTGTGAAAGCAGGCGCCCTAACCTCCAGCACAGCATCTCCTGCCACGCCCCTCACCCTGAAGACCCGCCCTCCCCTTCAACTCCTGACGAAGATGACGTCCCTAACGAGTTTCCTGGTAATCCTGAAGTAGAAGATAATGATGACAGCTCTTCGTTTCCGTTGGGGCATAGCAGAGACGAAGTAGAGCTTGGGCGTGACGCTCTTGATGAGTCGCTGTGGAACAAGAAGACTTCGACTCGTAAGGCAGACTACTCCCACCTACTACAGAAGGGAGGCGCTGATGCAGCCTGTCCGTTCTCCGATCCTGTGCCTGAAGACTGGGAGACCATAAAGGGTATGGTTAACTAGCCATTAAATTAAAGGGTATAGTTGCCAATTGAGAAATAATTATCTTGCAATAATTATTTCGGTCTGGTGCTTGCAGCAGTGGCGACTTAATATTTTTGTTGCTAATCAACCATGCTACGGTACTTTGCAATAATTATTTGGTTCTGGTGCTTGAAGCATGGACGATTTTTTTTGGTAGCTGCATAACCACACTATCTTGCAATAATTATTTTTGTCTGGTCCACCGAGCAGAAGCGACATAGTTTTTTTGAAACCAAGTCGAACGAAAGTCACGAAATGAACGAAATTAAATTTTATTACTGATGATCGCCATTCTTATGTTGTTGCATATGACACTGCCAGTTGTTAATTATAGCAGAAGCAATTGCTGACTTAAACGTCTTTCATGTCTGTCATAAGGCGTGAAAATTGCGAAGGATGAAGATGCTGGCCTCTAAATGTTGCTAAAATGCCATAGGGTATTATTGTACAATTAACTAAAGTTCGATGTATGAACAGGTGAATTTTTGTTGGTATACGTGGTGTATCAGTCACACATCAGCAGCAGTGTGATGATGATACCTGAAGCAGCTCCCGATGACGGCATCATGTGGCTCATCCTCATGCCAGGCTCCATGAGCAGACCTGCCATCGCTAAGGTCTGTAATACTTTCTTTAACCTACAAACTATTTCTTCCTGATACAATTACTCTACTGCTTCTGTGATATATTTGTTTTAAGTCTAAAACTTTATTAATGTTGATAATGTAGCTTCGACCATTTCTTATCCAAAAGTCGGAGAGGGAGAAATTTTCAAAGCTTGCTGGCAATTAACGCAAGTTAGATAAACAAATTATGTAATAATTGGTGTACATACAAAAGTTATAAGCAGCTGACGTTGCAGCACGGGGCGAGAGGTTCATAAATTACTCCTCATCACAGTTTCACTTAAAAGTTCCTGAATTATTTTGAATCAGTAGTCCCAAATTTGCAAGAGGCGATTTGTTTAGAAAAAGTGTTGTGTCTTTCCTATTGTTATTTATTTCAGCGTCCACTTGAGGCAGCTACATTATTGTTCTGGCTGTTCTCAGGTGTTGCTGCAGTTAGACAACGGTATGTACGCTCGTGTCCCTGGAGTGCGTCTCATCCCTGTTACCGGGGTGCGCATTGTGCCCCACGACACCCAAGGGCTCCTCACGATAGACGGCGAGAGCATCCCCTTTGAGCCCATCCATGCTCAGGTCCTGCCGGGCCTCGCGCGGGTTCTTGTGCGATGAAAGAAGCTGTGTGTGAACGATAATTCTGAAGGAGAACTATTAGCAAGTTGGAAAAAATTGCAACCAAAGTTCACAAGAACGTCCGTTGTTCGATAAAGATTGGAGACAATTTTTCTACAAGAACTATCAGCAAGTCGGTAAAGATTAACTAAAATTCTCAAAAAATACTATCCGAAAGTTGCGTGTTCCTGGTAAATTAGGCTATTGCAGATTGATTCTATTTTTTAGAGATTGCAAGCAAAACTTCTCGATTTTTAGAAGCTTTTTTTGAAACGCAGTTTTCTGGTAAAATTAAAAGCAAAAGGTAGTCACGCTATTTAGCCTACTGGAAAACATCTGTAACGTGAAGTCTTATTTATAATTGTTCTTCAAAATTAAATACCATATTTTTTAAGACTTTATTTCTTAATTCAATGTACGGAAATAATTTTCAACGCCATAACGATGTTTTTACCAAATAAACTTAACCGCAATCCCGTGCCTGTCATGTATTAAACACACTCAGGCGTCTAAACATATGTAAAAGAGTTTATTTTTATAATCAATAAGTACCGTATATAGTATACCTATTTGCTACTACTTAAATATACCTGTACCTATTGCAGCTGAAATATACCTGTGCCCTGTGGTGAGGTCTAAATCGCTGCTATGTACGTCTAACCTGCGTCTAGTGAATCAACCTACAATGGTTGTGCTGCACAACTGTGTGCCTTACAGGTTGAATCGTGTATACTTCTGGGTTCGTGATAATAAATGTTTTGTTATTCGCTTATATTGTGAAGTTTGTTTTGGATATTTCTAAATATCTTAGTAAATATGAGTTGAAGCGTTTCCTATATGAACATCACTCAATTATGTTTACGTGTTACTAACACCCTGTAATCAATTCTATTCTTAAGCTGGATGATATACACACGTGACACGAGTAAGATCTTGTTTACATAGATCTATTGATTGTGCAATATATAGCAGCTCACTCAAAAGGCACGTACCTATGCTTCTTTGTAAGCAGAGGTGCGTTTCTATTTGAATTATCTTCCTCCTTATTACACATTATATGCAATGCTACACCGTACATGGGCACTTTTAACAGTAACTTTGACAATATAATTCATGTTTTTGGACACTATGTATATTTTTGAGGGCAGTCGAGTTGTCGGGTATCTATTGTTGGAATGCAAACGTTCTTTGCTATCTTGATATTTTCTGAAGAACGTCTTACCGTGGTTGTTGCTACTATGTGTTGGAAAGTCTCAGGTGAAATGGGTCTATATGTTTCATCCCATTTTTCCACCCAAATAAGACTATCTAGTTTTATTAGTCCAATGCACTCGCCACTTGTCTTTCTTTTATGTCTTTCATTACTTAACAGATTAAATGAAATTTATCTTGATAAATTTTAATCCTTTGTTGGTACAATGACAATCGTTCAAAATCTATTTTCTGTTGAATACTTGAGACAACAATAACGACAAGTTGCTTTTGTAGTTGGCGTTACCATTATTCAGTTTATATATATATATGCATCAACTCCTGTTTTACGAATGTTCTTATTATTCTGTGATATATATTACCTAGACGTCCGTGGTCTACATTCCAGCGCCAATTCCTTTTCTTACCACTTTTTGGTCATTTTAAGAGAAATGTGTTGTTGCTTTTGTATTAATGTCACAATTAGTATCTTTTATTATCATTGCCCTTTCTATTTTGCCATTGTGCATTCTTACTATTTAATTCCAACTGTCTACTTTGATCTAGAAGTCTCCGATACAAGCTCTCGCCTTTACACTTCATTGGGATTCTTTTTCAGGTACTTCATCAATTTCCCAGTCATCAATCCTTGCCTCTGTTGGAATTGGATGCGTGCTGACCTCCTGTCACGACCTTTAAATCAGTCATACACGATGTATAAAAGCTCTTATACAAGCGTCAAAAAATTTAAAGTTCGTGTCACACTCCGAAGTTAACAACAAGTTCAATGAATGCGTGTTAGCAATCCTAAAAGACTAAAGCATTCCGTTGTGCATGTCAACATCCTTAAAAATACAGAAACAATATACTAAAACATTCGGCAATGTCACCTTTGCCTTCACACAATCCCCTCTCTCAGCCCTCCACTCCTCAAGACCCCACTCTTATCATCCCCTCCTCTTCCTCAACCTCCACACGTTCTCCAAATATCTCTTCGCACTCTCAAACATAGCCTCAGTTGCTCCCTCAGACAGACCCACAATCATTACATCCACCCTTCGCTTGTCTCTCGTGCCCCACTTCGTTAATCTCACCTCCCTCATTCAGAATCACCTCCATCATAGACTGATACTCTCTCTCTTTGGAATTGGAATTGGGGTGCGTGGTGACCTGCGGTCACGACCTTTAAATCGGTCATACACGCTGCCTAAAAAAACTTCCCTCAGACAGACCCGTAATTATCGCCATCCACTCTTCGCTTGTTCTCTCATGCCCCACCTCGTTAGTCTTGCCTCTCTCATTCAGAATCACTTCAATCATAGACTGACGCTCTCTCTCATACGCCCCACATTCCATCAACAAGTGCTCTACAGTTTCCTTCTCATCCCCATCACACATAAAACATTTATCTTCTCTCCTTTCATTCCACCTGTATGTACGTCCATTCACACCTAGCGCGCCTGCCCTAACACAAAAAAGAAGGTCCCCACCTCTACTACCATCATACATACATTCATATTTTGGCATCGCTTTCATCTGATACAGTCTTAGAGAGTCCTTTCCCTCCATTCCTTGCTTCCATACCTTCAGCCCATAGTCTTTCACTCGCTCATTTATTTCTCTTTTCCACTCTTACGCCCCACATTCCATTAACAAGAGCTCCACAGTCCCATTCTCATCGCCATCACACATAAAACATTTATCTTCCCTCCTCTCACTCCACCTGCATGTATGTCCATTCACGCCAAACCCCTGCGCTCACATAAAACAGAAGGTCCACACATTTACTACCATCATACTCGTACATGTATTCATATTTTGGCATCGCTTCCATCTGATAGTCTTATAGTGTCCTTTCCCTCCATATCTTGCTTCCACACCTTCAGCTCAAAGTCTTGTTGATCAAAATAATTTCTTGAATTTTACTATTTTCTATCAACTTTGTTAAGCGTTTTCAACTTTTTTCGGTGGTTTGTATGTTAATTCCATTTACAAGTTTTTTTATTCGTATACCTGGACTTTAAATATTATAAAAAATTTCTTTGAAGTTGATCGAGCCCCGTCATAATTATCGTGAGAAAATTTATAACATTGAGAAGCGTTGATCAGACGCCATACGCCAATTTTTCTAGTTTTCTCTGTGGGTTTTTTGTAGTTGTTATGAGAAATGTTATAACTAATATTTTTTTCTTTGTTTCATTATGTGAAAAATTTATTGCGTGCCTACAGTAGAGCTCTTTAGCTTGTTATAGGATAATCACGCCTTCTTCTAGTTACAAGATTATAACGCCTTCATCTTGGGAGGATGTGGTATGACTTATTAGATGTACTATTCATTTTAAATTTTATACGCACTTTATTAATGGAAGTTCTAATTTTAGAATAGTGTTTTCATTGTCCTTTACTGACTACAAAATTGTTTTTCTTGTAGTCTCTTACTGCTATTAATTTGAATGTTTCCTTAAGTGTTTGCTGTTGGCTCTTCAATAGGACTAGAAGGTTTGTTAACGATTATAACTTTTTAGTTGAACTGGCGGACTGAGTGAATATGAGAGGAGCTGGCCATAGGTTCAAACCTCGGAAGCTCTGTTTTTAGTTATTTGACTTGTGTCAATGGTGGGTGGCCCCAAAGTAAATTCGGGATACAAGTTACCTTGTGGGAATTGGGATCTTAAGGCTTTTAGACTGCTGAGAATTCTCCGCGTGAAGTAACCCATCTACGTTTCCTTACGTATTGACCTCTATGCGAAATAATACGTTGCACAAGTTCTTCTTTCTCTTGTAGAAAGTACCTGCAGTCTTATAGGTTTCTGAGATTCTAACAGATTTATTTAATTTTGGAAATTTATATTAGAGTTCTATCTAATTGATACAATATTCTTGGTGACCAGGTGGAAATTAAAAGATCATTTACACTAATTTCACAAAGCGTCATATGTCTTTAATTTCAACAACTGGTAAATATTAGTTGAAAAAAGAAAATTGTTTTTTGGAAGATTTTAAAGAAAGGAGAAATGGATATTATTTACAACTGAAATTAATCATCCATTCAAAATTATGAATGGATGATTAATTGCATACGGCTGGAAAGCCGTATGCACGATACGACTTTCCAGCGTATTACGGTATTACAGTGCTACGACAAGTCCCGGCAGATTTAAAACGCTTGGTTGTCCTCCGTGAGTGAAATTTGCTCCGGTGTTATTCACATGATCACATCACATTTGCCTTTCTGCCTGTAATTTTTTTGATTCCAAAAAATCAAGTCTGTAGCTTTTAGCCTTCAACTTTAGAAGAGTTTTCGACATTTAAAATTGAGTATTGAATTATATATAGTACGCAACCTAAAGGTCAAGCTGTGTTAAAATTTTTAAAATTAGCTTTGCGTTTCTGCTGTTTTGCTTTCGGGTGAAGCAGATATTGAATTCATTATTCATAGGTTATTACTATTAGGGTCACGGTGTAATATCTATATGTATTCATCTGGTTGTTTGATAATCATAATGATTATGAAGAGCTATGGGCTAACATTAACATTTTAAGGAAAGAAATAAAGTTATCTAGTAAAATCAATGGAAGATGCCAGAAGTGGAGACTGTGGAGTCTGTGACATAGTGGCAAACCAGAGCTATTTTAGAATCAGTTCATTTTTAATTTCCTCATTTACTCAAGATTTAAACCAATTTCTTAAGTATGGTAATGCTGGTATCCAGGATCTAGTCTGGAAAAGTCCTATTTTTGTCTGAAATATCGCGGCTCTAATATCATATAATTTCAGTAGGTATGAAATCTCGCGGCTCGAATGTCATAAATTTTAGTTTGATTAAAAAATCGCGGTTTGCACTTCGCAAACATGTCATTTCATAAAATTTTCAACTTACGCAATCCGCATTGCTTTACTGTTTCCGCCAAAAATATCTTGCAGAAAAAAACATAAATATCGTAATGTAAACAAATAAACAAAACGTTTGTTGAAGATCGCGCATAGTTGCGGTCATGTCAAAGCGGTCAGACTGTATATTAACACGTGCTGAACTTACAGTAGAGACAAATTTTATTGTTGCCGTTTGACTGTTTAAGGGTAAAATTAGAGATTTGGGGTAACACGTGCATATGCGTTGTGAAAAACAAGTCGCGCTAATCAAAACTGGCACCGCGTAGATTAAGGGTAGGTCGCAAAATTTTTTTCCGCGTTAATCAAAACCGCGGTATTCAAAACCGTGCTAATCAAGGGATTGCTGTATGTATAATTTCTAACATTATTCAAGGACCAAGGTAGGTAGGTATTTAAACCCTCAATGCCTCATGGCTCATGCCCATGGCCTAAGACAGTAAGACTCTGTCTCTAAGCTTTTTCTTTCCATCAATTCTAAACTGACTACTAAGAGTTAGTCTAAGACTGTAAGGCAAAGAGTGTATTTCTTTCAGGAAAGGCGTAAAATATATACCACACCAATTTATGAAATGCAGAGATTGCAAATCAGTGCATTTTGCAGTTGTGGTCTGTGGAAAATAACAAACTTTCTGAGTTATTATGAGCAGAGCAGAGTTGGCTAGTTTTAGACTTTGGAGTTTGGAGCATTGATCCTATTCCCACTACTGGTACTGTGGTACTGAATAGTGGCCATGGTCAGGAAGATGTGCCAGGTGCGCGGGAATTTATTTTGTCATTTTAACGACCTGCGCAGTGCGCCGTACTATGCTGGTAAAAAAATGCGCCGTGCGCCGTACTTTAGAAAGCTAAAATAGTTCTACTATTTTAGCCGACAATATACGTGAGTATATTGACTACGTGAGTTGAACTGACAATAATAAAATGTAAGACATGTCCAGGTTGCTTCTGACTCTTCCGCTTGTCCGCCTTGTCGGATACGGAACGTATGGTAATCGTAAAGACGTAAACTGCGGCTATTATACATACGAAATGTAAACAGATGGTGTAGGTGTTCAGTCAGTGTTGCCATATGACTTTGGAGAAAATTTCTTCTAAAATAAAGTTCTAGATTTCTCATTCACCAAATTTCTGTATCAAGAAAAATCATATATTATTGAAAGATAATTAAAGGCATACTGTACTGACTAAATGTGAGTATTACGTCTGTACGGTCTGTTCCTCCACAAACTGCTCGTCCGCGGCAGCACGACGTAGAATTGATGGCCGGGATTGCGCGAACACGTGCGCGAAGAGAATAAATTTTCATTACATTGCGCCAACTGTGCACAGCAATAGCTTAAAAAAGTAAAAATGCACGGGAAAATTCACCAAAAACATACATCATCTGATCATCCTGAGTGTGGAATAGTGGTTAGTAGATACTACTGAGTGGCTCTCTGTCTCTGCCACTGACAATTGTCATTTGTCAACATAGTGGCAATTTGGCAAAGCAGAGAGTTTTTTAGACTCTCCCTCGAGTTCATTTTTGAGTCCTATAAGTAGTAGTAGGCCTAGACCAGTAAAGTATCATGGATACCAGCATTATCTTACATAAGAAATTGGTTTAAGTCTTGAATAAATAAGGAAATTAGAAATAAACTGATTTTAAAAAATCTCTGTTTTGTCACTGTTTGTCAAAGTCAATGCCATTAACTTTGTCACACCACTTGTGTTGCCAGGGCGCAGAGGGTGGATGCAGCGTTGCCAATATATGGGTTTTAAGCCCTAAGTGTTGCCAGGTAATTTTAAGATGCATCGCCAGGTAATTTTGAATGAAAAGCCATTTATGCTGAGTAATGAAAAACTATTTACAAGCCACAAACTTATTTACAAGGTGGCATGCATGTGTTAGGTATTACCCCAAAATTACTTTATTCAATGAATAATTCTTCTTAATTAAGTTTTACCGATGAGACTCAGAACGTTGCTTCCGAGACAAAGCAGCGGGCCCAATTAACTAATTTTACCCTAAAAACAGTCCGATTGTACAGCAAGTGTCAACTGAACATGTGATAATTAATGCAGTCTGACTGCTCTAATGTGACTGCAACTACGTAATCATAAGCTTGATGTTAACATTTTTTGGCAGGAACTCATTGCAACTGATTTCCGGACGAGCTTCACTGCATCCTGATCCATCCAACATATCGGAAACCTTACTTTTTTTTAAATAGTTGGCTGAAGACTGACAAATGTATTAAAT